ACTTCACATTGTTCGGGCTGCAATTATCGTAGTTCTCCTAAAATTAAAGGAAATCATCCGTTGGAAGCAAATTTTCGATATCTGAATTGACGAGTGCAGTACTGCAGTTTGGAGTCGTCTGACCGGAAACGTCGTGGATACTAGTAGGTATACTATTATAGGTGGGGGAGATTGTAAACTCGGCCCGAGGAAAAAACATTTCCAAAAGGTCGATGGTAAACTCGGCCCGGGTTTTTTTCAGGTCAAAATTATTTAGATGTAAACTCGGCCCGGGTTTTTTTCAGGTTAAAATTATTTAGATGTAAACTCGGCCCCGATTTTTTTCAGGTGAAAATGATTTAGGTGTAAAAACCATCATTTTTCTTATAATATTTTTGAGAAACATTTAGCATTACCCAGAGGACACCATCACGATGCGGTTCTCATTATCCTTCAAAAATTATTTTCAGTTTCATATTATTATTCATAGAAATTCGTTATTTAAATGAAAAATATGTAATTAAAATGTTATAATATTGATAATAAAATAATTATAAATGTAATTATATAAATTTATAAGTGTAAAAATGTGTAAAAATATAATAAAAATATATAAGTAAAATTGTAGTGTATATAATGAGTGAAAAATTTTAGTATAATAATATATAAATCTAGTTTTTTAAGTAAAAAGCCATGTATTTTACATATTCACTCTCTGATATTTCTTTATTTTTATATTTTGTAAGTGTTCTTTCTAAGAGTTCTTTTTTTTTTTTAGTTTTTATATTTTGGAATTTAAATGGTCCATCTAGGCTGTTGATTTTAATGTACGTTTCTGTTTGTACTTCTTTTAATTTTGAAATGACGGAATATATATTGGGGTGAGTGGAATTAAAACTTGAATTAAAATGCGCATGAAATGATTCACATGCATTTGTTGTTAAATACGTTTCAACTGATGCACTGGCCCACATTTCAGGAGGAAACATAGAATCTGACACCTGACATTTTCGGGCCGAGTTTACAATCGATTTATTTTACCACCTGAAATTTCCGGGCCGAGATTACAATCTACCTATTTATATTACCTAAAATTCTCGGGCCGAGTTTACAACAAAAAAGGTAACTTCGGGCCCAGTTTACATTTGCCCATAGGTGGATGGTCCTACGTCCTACCTATACCTATTGTTCATAATATGTGTTTTGCCTTTACGGATTAAATAGGTACTTTAATTTTATGTGTATAATATATATTATATAATAGATTTTCCTTCAGAATATATGTTCAAATATTGCAGCCCAGTCTGTGCCTAATTGCGTGGTACTATATAAATATATTGGTTATTTTTAACGGCTTCCCGGTGATGAACGCTGAATACACACCGAAGATCTCAGTTTATACACCATCAGACAATTTATAGATAATTATTATTACTGCATTTTAGTTTTCCTTTTTATTATAAGCAGATCGATCAGTGCACCATACAATTTATGCAACAAACATTACCTATTATAAATAATTATTTAATAAAATCGTATTCCATTAATAAGATCCACGTCCTCCACTTCCTCCAGTATTCGATGCGCGATTTTCGTTTGTTAAAATAAAATAGTAATGTAATAAATTTAACGGTAAAAATATTCTCGATACCGGATAAATCAGGAAAAAGGGTATATTTCGTCGTTCGGAATATAGTCTATAGACGTTTGTATACTTGTATACAATGCTATAATAATGCCAAACAGTATACTATATGACTATATATATACTTATATACTAGGTCCAATGTATTGTACCTATATATTATGTTTTTCAGTTTTTCACAATATATATATAATATTATATATGAGGCACACCTTAACACAGCAATGTCTATGTCTGGTGTTGTATAATAGGACAGACCGCGTAACTATTGTATCGATCAATGGTGGGAAGGAGAAGGTTCCGGTAAACTATTTTTTTTTTCCGTTGTACGTGCCAGTCTATAATGGAAGTGTAATGGGGGGCACAAATAGTCTTTCAAATCAAACAGTGACTCGTACAGTTACATAATTACATAAATCGTAAATTCTAAACATTTCCTACGTCAATACGTGTAATTTGTGTATTGATGTAGTATTATATAAGTTCCACGTTAAATTTAAATTTAAGGCGTTCCCCTCATGCTTTTACACCACTGGTTAGTATTATTTTTACCCCCCCCCCCCCCATCACCCATTTTTAATAAATTCAAAATATACAAGCGATGTGATACAATTATTATTCGTAAATCAAAATTGACACATTTTTATATTTATTTTAATTTTATTGTTACATTAATCCAACATGGCACCATCTCAAAGTAAACTAACCAAAAATACTATCACATAGTAATAACAATAATATAAAAATGAATATATATTGTTTATTATTATTTATTATGATGAAAATAACATATAAACCTCTGATCACTACCTAGTTAATGTAATTTTTACTTATTATATAATATAACTGTAGAGTAATATCATTGGATATGTGAAACTCATATTTATTTTATCCAATTTACCTATTGTATTTTTTAATATAGATTGTAAAAAAAAAAAATTGATTTTGTACGAATCAATAAACTCAAAATCTATTGTTGTACCTAAGTAATTAAAATATCATTAATCATTATTGTTTTTAAAAGTTTCTCAGAAACTATTTATCTTAGGTATGTATAATATCATCTTTTCTAAAAAACTTACTGAAATATCCTGATATGTACTTAAAAATTATAATCGATGCACTTCAATTCCATATATTAAAAACCATACAATTGGATTATAATTTTAACCATTGATGTAAACTGATAATCTGTTAAATTATTGTTTTAAGGTAGGTACCTAGTTAATAATTTAGTTAAAAAAAATACTTTCTTTACTACACAATATGGATAGCTCAACACGAAAATTTTGAATACGGAACATGCTCCGTGATCTGCAGTACATCGTCCATGAGTATATCGCACATGACATGCGAGATCATTTTTTTTAATATCTTGCAGAGCAGCCACATCAATGTATCATGGTTAAGGTTTTTTATGGTTGTAACTTGTAATATTGTTTGTATAGAGGGAAATATTAAACACAAAATGGATAATATGCTTATTAAATCTACAAAAAATCCACAATTCTACCTCTATGCGGTCCCAACAAATACCTATGCTAAATACATTATATTATAAAAAATATAACGTGTTATTTTTTAAACACAAATTTTCAGTTGCTATTATTTTATTAATTTTTTTGAATTATCGATACTTCAGTAGCCTTTGACCAAATTACAAATAAACATTTTTTGTTTAAACGTACCTATATACATGGTATTTATCTGTGGACTGTCTACCTCGTGACTAATTATGAGAAAGTCAGGGGTATTTCGTGAAGAGTTCCACGAATCCTGTATATTTTGAGAAGATGAGGCACAATAATCTGAAGTACCCGGGTGCCCACCTAAGCCCACCCCCACACGTATATAGAAATGGCATGCTCTTAGGTACCTCGACCACCGATCGCCGTACTAATAGGATCGTACGTACATATTATACACAATAAAATAAAACACGTCTTTGAGATGTGCGCCGCACCATAGCTCGCCGCATTGTAATAGTCCTATAAATAAACGCGAGTCATCCCTCCACCCATCGCCCTGCCAACCTACACCCTCCCACCCGACCACTGCGGACGTAACGACCGTCCGAAAGTCGAAAGCCAAAGTGCCGCAGTACCTCTATACACATTATTATAATACGGCACGTTCACGTGCGCGAAGCGGGCTAAGCCGCTCTATCCGTTTCCGCCGCTGCGATGGCTCTCGTCCAAAGAATTCCCCTCGGAGCACCGGCGGCCGGCTTCGCGCTAAATTACGATAACATAATTAAAGTCTTTTGTGTTCTGGTCTGTGTCCTGTGGCGGGAGGGCGGCGGGGTCCCGTGCGAAAGTGTCGGCGCGCGTCGTCCCTAAATGGCCCGCGTTTATCAGCTGCTGGTGGCCACAGCAGCAGGCAGGCAGCAGCAAGCTTACTACGTGTGGACGACGCCGAGGGGTTCTCAAAACGTTTCTCCGTGAGCGTGTCGTCTCCCCCCTATTTTTCCGCTCACTTGTCGCGCGACACACACACACACGCCGAGTGCCCCGACCGAATAACGCGCCACTCGCGCGCGCCTGCCTTATCGTCGACGTCGTCATTATTTACGAACCCGAATCATCCGATCGGCGATCGCTGATCAGTGCGCGTTCAAATTCTGTACGTTTCAGCCACTGTCCGCTCGATCACCGAGACAGGTTATTATTTTTATCACCGTCGTCGTCGTTGTTGATGTTTTTGTTGTTGTTGCTACGTTCCGATCCGTCGGGTTCGATTCGATAAATATAATAATACAATAATAACAATTTATAATAGTAATTATTATTACTATTATTACTCATCCCGTGTGCGCGCGCGCCATTGCCGCGTGTTAGTGCGTGCGGGCAAGTTCGCGGTTAGTAGTAAAGTTGCGTGCGTGCGCGCCTCCGCGAGAGATATCGAGACAAAATGGCGTCGTTCTTATGATAGCGCTGGTCTGTGGTGCACGATATATGTATTATGCTATAATATTATTATCGTTTTAATATCGTAAATCATACTCAAAACTCAAACTCCTTTTCTACAATATCGTATCGTGATTGGCGCCACGGGTATGTGAGACGATGTTGACAAAATGGTCCCGATCGACGACCGTCACATCATCGTCGTCGTCCGCACTGTTTTGACGCGATCAATCTTCCTCGGCCCTGTCAGAAACGGAATCGCCCGCCCGAAGTGCCATGTAGTCCTCTGAAGTCCGCTTCCTCGTCTTTTTTTCTCTATTCTATTTCTCCGTCTTTCTCTGTCTTTCTCTCGCTCTCGGCTTCCGCACCGTCGTCCGGACCATGTCGTCCGTCGTCCCGCCGGTGGTCAATAAATAACTTTTTTTTTTAGAACCCGGGACGCGTTCCCCTCGAGGTTTTCCTCGAAAATAATGATGTCATTTAACCATTACGGTTACAACAGTTTGAAAAACGACCAGACCAACAAACGGCTGAGAACGGCCGACTACGACCGGGAGTCGCGGACCACCAACAGTTCCGTGTCGTCGTACGAGGACGGCCGCCGAAAGAACGCCGAAACGCAGCCCAACCACATACTTCTGTTGACCATCACCAAAGTGACGTACCCGATAAACACAGACGTCATCCACACCATTTCCAAAGATCATGGTAACGTTCTGCGCATAGTTATATTTAGGAAACGCGGTGTACAAGCCATGGTAGAGTATGAAGAAGTGGAACAGGCCATACGGGCCAAGCAACTAATGGACGGTGCCGACATATACCAGGGGTGTTGTACACTGCGAGTGGAGTATGCCAAGCCGTCCAAGCTGAACGTCTACAAAAACGACTCCGAAACGTGGGACTATACGACACCAAATCCAGGGGAGAAGAAAACTGCACCCCTCTTACCGGACCCTCCAAGAGCTCCTCTGATATCCACTCGACCTACATTCCCTCGATTTGATTTTGAATGTCGAGGCGGGCTGTTATCTACACCTCATGATTTACCTAATAATAATTATGGTGACAGCTATCCGGCCACGCCTGGACGTTGTGTGCTGATGGTCTATGGTCTAGATCCCGACAAAGCAAATTGTAATCGGCTATTTAATTTGTTTTGTCTGTACGGAAACGTGGTTAAAATTAAATTTTTAAAAAGCAAGGAGGGCTGTGCGATGGTACAGATGGACAATGAAATGTCTGTAGATCGTTGTATGGACAATTTGAATAAGCTGACACTTATTAGTGGTAATGTGTTACAGCTGCAAGTATCGAAGCAAATGTATTTGTCTGACATTATGGTACCATATGATCTACCTGATGGCACTCCATCATTCAAAGATTATTCCAACTCAAAAAATAACAGGTAATATTTATTTGGCGAATCTTCATATTAATATTGAATGTCACTTTAGGTTATAAATATAGTTTGGATTGGTAGTGATTGTACATATTATTTAGAAAATGTTTCTTTTCTAAATTTAAAAATATTGTACCTACCTATAAATTGTGTATATATATTAGATAGGTATATAATAATTTTTAATTAAATCAAGTACTTCGGTAGGTAATTTGCAATACACTTTTATAACTGAATTTATTTCAATTTATCAACAATTTCCAAATAGTTTTTCATTATCAAATTACTTATTAATTATAAGTTTCTTATTATATTTATTAAATACATTTCTGAGGAATTAAATACTAATGTATGATTGTATTTTCAGATACCATTCAAATTCTAACGGAAAAAATCGGCGTCAGACCCCATCCAGTGTGTTGCATTTTTTTAATGCTCCACCAAACATATCAGAAGCTGATTTATCTCAGACAATAAGCAAAGCTGTTAAAGATGTTGATCCAAAAATTATCATTAAGATGTTTCCTCCAAAAGGTACCGAAGCACGTAGCTCTTCTGGACTTGTTGAGTTTACAGATATGGCTATAGCTGTGGAAGTGATAATGGCCGTCAACCACTGGCCGATAAAATGTGAATCATCCAAGTTTCCGTACTTACTCAGACTATGTTTTTCATCGCTACCCAAAGGAATAGCGAATGCCGAGATGGCACAGTGACATTGCGCTGCTTAATGAACTACCGTATCTCATGTTTGTCAATTATTACTTTTTAGTGCATAATATTGGGTTATTTTTATTTTTTAAAGAGAAATCGACTATGTTTCACATTTCCTATTAATAAGTTAAAAGGACTATGGTTAATGTCTGCCACCCCCTTAAAATGTTTTCGTATGTTTATTATTATTAAATATAATAATTGTTTTTTTTCTGTATTTGTATTATTATATAATGTAGACTTGTCAATTATGAAAATCAAACCATATCTTCACTATTTTTGTTTCTGTTTTTAATTTATACTTTTGTGTACAATATTTCTGATAAAGTTAATTTCAGAATATACCGAACTTAGGGATAAGTGGTGGGACCAAAACCATAATCTTGCCAATAAACTGTCCTAATAAAGAATTTGAAACATATTTTTTTGTCACAAAATGCTAATGATGCGTGCACACTTAATATGATACTGAAATATATGATTCCTATTATTAATATTATTATTGATTATGGTACTGGTACTATTTGTTTTAGGAGGAATATTTTTCCCAGAGATATTTAGCTTGATAGTAGATTGTTTTTAAATTTGTTAATACTTGTAAGTAAAGACAATTCGTTTTAGTTTTGTTTTAATAGTAATAGTTCCATCATAGTTGTTTTATGTTTTCTTTATTTTGCAACAATTATAAAGATTTAGTTAAAAGTTTAAAATGTATATTAGACTAGTTATAATAAATTATTAGGTTGTATTTATTTTATTTTTAATTTTAGAATAAAAATTATATGATTAAAAAAAAATTATATAAGTTACCACTGTTTTTAGTTTCCTAGTAACTTGAATCATTGAATGTAGTTACTTCAATACCTACTAGGTAGCAAACTTCTTTCATATTGTTTTGACTAAACAACAAAAGTTTATGTATTTAAATAAGTTATATTGTAGTGTTCATTTTATTTTTCATTACATTCTCTTAAAAATATTTTTGAAATTATTGTGTTCAATCCTGTCTAATTCTAAATAATTATTTTAAAACTATACACCACAAATTACAGTATAGTATTATTTAATTGATAGGTATTTATTTTTTCACACTAAATTAATACTATTTTTGTTATTTTAATTCTAATTATGAGTTTGTTTTTAAGCATAGCATAATAAGCTGGCGTAATTCTATTATTTTCAGTTTGTCTCTGCTACCTGCAATAATATATACTCGAATCATAATCGTAATGGTATTGACGTATTGTAGTACTTGATACAAAATATATACTCTGATGAGTCAAAATTTAAACGGCTTTTACTGATGCAATGGCCTTGTGTTATTATTATCTTTGTTAACTACCTAACAATATTGAATTGTCTATTTAAAGGTAAGTATGTAAGACGGGGAAAAAGTAGCTAATTTATTACATTATAAATTTTCAAAATTTTCAAAATTGAATATTTAATTAGTTTGGTAAATTACTATGTGTCTTATGTCTTAAATAATCAGTACTATTGTTTTGTGGTAGGTAATAATATATTAATTTTTAACTAGGTAACTACAGGCTAAAATTAAAAACCAAGTTTTACCTACATTAAATTCAAAATTATAGATGTAAGTTAAAAGTTTAATTTCTACCTATACTAAGGTAGTATACTCATTTATCACCCTCATTTATACTTTATAAAAGTTTTAAAAAATAAGTTATTATTTAGGTAACTTTAAATAATGAAATAACATATAGACTTTATTACATAGTAATTAGTAAGTGGTAAAACAAAAAATATTTTGTGATAGGTTTCCTTTTCTAAATACAATTAATGTCAGGGTGGGGGGGTAAATTGGTGGACCCCCATATTGGTATTTTTACCACCATTATACATTATTACAATATAAGATAATGGGAGGGGTTGAACGTCATTACCTCTGTGGATTTAAAATCTTCCCCCCCCTTTTAGAACTAGAATATATCCGCCACTGATTAATCTGTTGGTAAAACATAATCCAATATCTATAGGTGTTTCATAATAGCTACCTAAGTGGCTAACTTGAAAGTTAATAGATTTTGACTTGAGATGGCTGACTTGCTAGAAACTCCAACACGGATTTCGACTTTACACTTTTTACATCAGATAAAGCATCGGTCATGCTACGGCACATACCATTCTATGTGCAGGTATACTCTATATTTCGGCTTGTAAGAGGCGGCTGCTTATGTCGGTGGCACACAGCAAGCTGCTGTACGCTTCACCGGTATGGGCTCTGGCGGGGGTGAGGGCAGCTCGGAATAGGGTAGCCCTCAGTCAGGCGCAGAGAGGTGCCGCTATTCGGGTGGCGAGGTGCTACAGGACCGTGTCTGATATGGCAGCTCTGGTCTTGGCTAGAATGCCTCCAGCCCACCTGCTGGCCGATGAGCGACGCAGAATCGAGGAGCGCAAGCGGGAGCCCACGACGGTGGCGGTTATAAGGAGGCAGGAGCGCGAGGCAACGCTGCGCGAATTGCAGGTAATCTGGGATCACACGACGAAGGCGGCGTGGACGAGGAGGATGATTCCAGACATCAGGAGGTGGGTGTATCAGTCAAACCATGAAGCCATGGCTTTCCACATGGCTCAGGCTTTGACGGGTCATGGATGCTTCCAGCACTACCTGTGGAAGAGGAGGAGGGCAGATGACCCCCGCTGCATGCACTGTGATGAGCCGGACGACACTGTGGAGCACACATTGTTTAACTGTCCGTTCTGGGCAGAAGACAGACGGGAGATGGAGCAATGCGTCGGCCGGCCACTACAACCCAACGATGTGCCGGATATCATCCCGGGACCGGAAAAGGAGCTCCTCCCAGATGATGCATCCAGGAGGCGGCGTATTGAGGCGATGGCGGAGGGACTGAGGTTGGCGTTTGGCAGAATGGTGGAAGCGATTCTCGGGCGGAAGGAGGATGCAGAGCGGGTTAGGCAGGCGCGGTTATTTTAATGGTGACTGAGTTTGTGGACCGAAGGCCAAATACCTAGGGTGGTTAGATGCCCCCGCCCCCCGCGTATGTATATTATATTATAGTTGTATTTTGTAGTAACGGTGAATAAACGATACGGGCTCGGGTGGCAGTATTGTGCTAAACAGTTCCCACCCGTTCCTGTTTTTTGTTTAAAAAAAAAAAAAAAAAAGGTATACTCTATATAGGTGATCCTGGAGATCGTATCCAGCCTATCCATTTACAACGTTTGTGATGGATTGCTAGACCCTCAAACTTTTAACATTCCCGCCCAATCGTCTAGCCTTATCTCCAATCCATATCACTAATCCTTATCACAAATCCTAAACTTGCGTCTTACAACCTTTGCGACTTTTATAATTCATTGTCTCCAAAATCGGTACCCACTCCCAGCGAGTCCAACGGGCCCCGAGTTACACTTAGAGCTAGTTATAGTATATTATGAACAACTCGTTCAGTTTTTTGATTACAGTATAAACTATTTATGAGAACCTTTGTTTTAAATTTGCAATCCTTAGCTATAAAAACTGAACATTTTATAATTTATTAATTACAATGATTGATAATTTTCGAGATTTTGATAAATTTTTTCAAAATTCGATCTTTAAATGCTTATAAAAAAACGTGTGCCTATGTATTTTTAATATTTTCAACTGATATTGTAACAATATATCAGGAGCCTTGTATTAAATTTTTACACTTTTTGGCATAACCGATAAAACTTTATTGATATTTATAGAAAAAAAAACTAAAATAATTGAAACTGAAAATGTCCGTAAACAGCCCAAAAAGAGTCAAAATATTTTCAAAATTGTATGGTGCATAGGAAATGCTAATATAAACATTCAGTGAAATTTTCAAGTATCTACAGTTATTCGTTTTTTAATTAAAACAAAATAAGGAAATCGATACATGAGAAATCGAGTGAATATCCAATATTGTAAAAATTTGAATTTCAAACGCTCATAAAAATTTAATTTGACTTTCTTATAGACATTTTTTTTTGATTAAAGTAGACAAACTTATGAGGAATCTTGTATTACATTTTAAAATCTTAGATTTAAAAAGAAAAATTTTTAAGAATTTTTAACTCAAAATAATTTGCTTATTTTCGTGATTTTTCCATAATTTGTCAATTTATAAACTTGAAATGCTTAGAAAAAAAAACTGTGACTAAGGATTTTTAATATTTTTCATCTGCCTTTGAAACAATAAACTAGGAGCCTTCTATTAAATTTTCAAGCTTTTTCAGCCAACAAATAAAATTTTATTGATATCTTTAGAAAAAAAACTAAAAAAAAATGGAAAATGAAAATGTCCCTAAACAGTTCAAAATAAATCAAAATATTTTGAAAATGTTATCGTGTATAGAAAATGCAAATAGAAACAACCAGTGAAAATTTCAAGTGTCTACGGTCATTTGTTTTAAAGTAACACCAAAAACCAAATTCAATTTTGTGAAAAATCGATTTTGCGTAAAAATTCCCGTTTTTCCTTAATTTTTCTTTTGTTAATCTTGTAGCTTGTGTAAACTATTGAGAATTTTAAATTTTGACCTCCCAAAAGTACCAATTAGATTCACTTGCCCATCGAACAAGTTACTGAAGTTGAAAATCGAAGCATTATTTCGACTACTTGTTATACTAATGTATCTAATAAGTAGGTACCTACTTAATAATAGCCATAGGCAGTGAAGTACACAGGATTTTTCAATTTGGAGGAAAGGTTAAAAATAAATTACAATTTTATTTTTATTTTGTCCAGTCTAATAATTGCAGACGCTTAGCCGCTTAGGTGAGGTATTTGAAAATTGTTGCATAGCTAAGGCTTGAAAATTTAATACAAGGTCCTTAGTACAACTATAGCTTATAATATAGGTACACCTACTTTTAACCATACAAAATCTTCTCTGTACTTTTATTAGATTTTATAATTCTCAATTCTCATACCTAATGTCCATAGCTTACAATATTATATATAGAAGTTATAGACCTTATACTAGTAGTATATAGACATATAGTATA